TTAATGAGCACGTCTGAATTACAGGCCAAGTTGCAAAGGTGCAGGCTCCAGATGAAGTCCTAAAGCATAAGGAGAAGTCTTATCAAATCCAAGTCTTACCGAAAGCACACTGAACTGCTGTATTTCGTATAATCGGAGGTCTAACATAACATTACTGTGTCCAACAAAGGCCCATAATAGACCTTTTGAAAAGAGTATTAAAACTAAAATAAGAAACTGGATAATCTTTCCCAGGCAATCCCTTTCACTTCTGCCCCATCCCTATCCTGTTTGGCATAGTTTGTGGTTAAAAAGAAAAAAAAGTTATGCAAATAACAAGATGCATTTATTTCAGCTTTCCAGTACTTTAGCTTCTACATAGCTAAAGAAACCTTCTGTGGCAAGAACCTATTTTAGTCCATTGTACAGGACAACCAAGCAGTTATGAAAGGTACTCAAATACCAAAACCCTGCTGTTGCAGGATAGATTTGAAAAGGAAGATCTAAATTTAGCAGAGGAGTACAAGCCTGTATATAAAACATCAGTTGTTTTACAGTAAAGAAATCTTACTAGAAACTAAGAGACAGACTTACTTCCACTACACACGCTGCTAGTAGTTACTCTTGCATTTCCAGGGAACAAGGCCCCAGCCGAGCCCAGAACTCACTGTAGTCCCAAGTAACAGGAAAACCCAGCTACATTTACTTCTTAAAAGAAAACTCACGATCGGTAGCCCTTGAGCAGGGCTTTAAGCTCACTTGTGTATTACAACTAAAAAGCCTTTCTAGAAAAATACACTATTATTTATCATGAAGTCCAAACATGAATTTACACGTTAAAAAGAAAACTGACCCATTTGCAAGGTATTTTAAAGCACACATCGTATGTAAATACTGTTTACACCGAGCTTTCAGGCACTCCTTGAGCAGCAACACCTCACAAGCACAAGTCTCATTTAAAATGATACAACCCAAGCTACATTTGCCCAGCTTATTTGTGTTGTGAGCCAGCTGACAGTACAGATACTAAGGGCTAAATCTCTTCCTCACTCAAACTTTACAAAGCTGAAAACTTGTTATTTTCAGGACTTCTTGCAAGATTCCCTAGAGCTATGGACAGGAATCCAAATCCACAGTGCCTCCCTCTTGCCCGCATTTATCCCAGACAAAAAGAAAAGAAAGTTTGGAAGCTGAGGTAGCATCTGAGGGTGCTCACGAAATGAGCACAATACGAAAGCATGCCAAAACAGCAGATTCCTTTCTAGAAGGACCTGAGCAGATACCTACATTGCCAGAAGACTGAAAAGTAATAAGTGAAATTCTTCCTCTATTACTCCTTGAAATAGCCAGAGAACTCGGAGATGAAGGAAGATATTCCTTTTCCTTTCTATTACCTATGTAAGGAAAGAAGAAAGCCTTAGAAATCATATGGGCTCCAATACAAGTGGGGTAAATGGAGGTCAGTGCAGGGGAAACTCGGGGAAGGATTGAGGTACAGAGAACGCTAGTCAAAATGCCAAAAAGTATTTTTTCCACACATTCCCCCCCACACCTTATTTTCCATCAGTTACGGACCTTCAGTCTGTTTCTGAGAAATCCTTTCAATATTTTGCACATGTTGAATTTGCATTTTTATGACCATCTCCTTTCTCCTTCCTCTGCCTACAAATGCATGGCCAGAAGAGGACAGAACAAAAACAGTTCTGGACAGCTTCTTACATTACAGAAGAGTATAGATATTAAAAAGAAGTTTGGCAAAGACCAAAGTGCTGCAGCAAATTTCAGAGTTTACTGACTAGACGCTTGATATTAGCAAGAATATTCCACACACAGTTTCCCATCCTAGCTCTTTATCAGGTTTTAGCCTTCATTATCAGGCCATACGTATATATTCACACACACAGTTACATTTGGATAATTCTCTCCCCTCCCCAAACCCATCTACAGAATTCACCCTTAAAGGAACCAGTTGAATTAGAAGAAGATGATCCTTACTGACAAAGAAGTTTTCATGCTCTTGAGGGATTGCTCAAAATATCCTACTCCTGGTTTTAAAGAGGATTATGTGCTCAGAGAAGGATTTCTAGGTATCGCTTCCCAGCCTCTCTCCTCTCACCAAATCCTCCCTTGCCAAATTCCTGTTAATTATGGAAAACCCAATTTATGAACATGGCATAGGAGTTGAGGAATGAAGTAAATTAATCAGTCTGTAAAGGACAGATGCAATGATTACGCTATACCTACCACACTGAACAAAACTAGGACTAATGGGCAAGTGACATTCAGAAAAATTTCGGTCCTTTCGACACACTTCTCTTTCCTAATCAAAAATCCCCGCTCATTGTGACAGATGTTACTGGCTACATGGGGTCACGGGAGACACGGTGGCATTTGAAAGAAAAGCTTTCTCCCAAACTTATGAAGCTGAAACAAAGTAAAGCAACTCAGTGAAACCGCAGGCCCTTGAGGAAACAAGCACGTTCTTCTCAGCACAAATCAACTATTTCTTGTAAGGCAACAGCTTTTCCCCATGTATACTCCACTAAGAACGTGTGCAGCTAAAGGTTTGGGAGCTTTCCTCCCCCCATACTATTTACATAAAAAACAACTCACAAATTCTTCAATTTAGATTGTTATTTCTGCAGCAATTCTTTGCCAGGGTTATTCACATAATTTACTGTAATCTTTTAATCTAAGAGCTCTACAAAGCCTTCTAACATGCCCAGAACATAAGATCCCTAATCCTGACTCTCCGATCACAGTTAAGGTGCCTACAGAGACTCTCTTCAAAGTGTGGTATAGACCAGCATAGGTCTTTTTTGACTCTGTCCATATAGAAACAGTGCTTTGAGCTGACCTTTGAGCAAGCACTTACCATTCACTGACGTATTTCATATTGTTTTCACAACTTCCTGAACTGAACCTTACGGATACACACCCATGTGCATCGCTTTTGCAACAGAACACGCTAGAAACTCATGATTTTAAATCACCACCGAGAGAAGCAGATGTTAATTATTTGTTACTGAAAATGTATGTACGAAGTCCAAATTTAAGGTTTCAGCCGTCTTAACACTTTGTAAGGAGTATCAAACCAAACAAAGAAAGGTTTCCAATGAAGGACTATTTCATCTTGCAGGAGTTTCTTTAAAAGACTTCACGAACTGTTGCAAACAGAACACTTATTGAGCCACTTAGACCACTTCTCCGCCCCCACCCCCCCAAAATCATCTTAATCACTTTTCCCCTAATCTCTTACTGCTATTTGTAAAGGGAACAATGTGGGTTTTTAACATGTAAAACTGCTCCCAAGAGTAGCTTTGCTGGGAGTATAAATTAACCTAAATTGGAGGTGCTACATTCCCATCTGTTCTCCTCCATCAGAACCAATTCTCATCGGACGTAGGGGAGCCAATTCAAAGAGCAGAACTGGCAGAAATTAACAGTGCAGTAAGAAAATACGGTTTTCTGCTCCTGCTCGTGGAGGACAAGAGGTAGAAATGGATGGACACCTGAGGGGGTTGCAGGTGTGCCACAGGAACAACTCAGACCAGCTTAAAATGTTGTGGGATCATGTTACTAGACCCTGACCTGCAAGTTATCACCACACCGAGACAAAAAACCTTTGCATGCAGTGAAATGACGTAGGTTTAAGTTTGTCCATTTATTCTCAGCCGCAAGAACCAAGATTAATGCACCAATTCCTCAATTTAGATTCCAAGAAACGGCTCTTATGCCTAGGCACACCCATACACGGATGCAGCATTAACTGCACAAAAAAGCACCCTGAAAAGAAAGAAAAAAAAAAAGGCACTTTCTTTTTTATTGTGATCTTCAGAACAACACATATAAAAACTTTCAAGCTTAAGTATTAGTCTCAGGCTGCCCGTGTTCTCCATAATTAAAGGCTAATATTCTTACTCTCGACAACAAAAACAACTTTACCAACTGGTGTTGAAATCACAAGATAATGTAGGGACCTCAAGAGGTCTCTAGTCCAAAGCAGCACTCGAAGTGACTAGATCCAACTCCATCAGCTTCCTCTAGGCTTTGTCGAGTTTTTAGTATTTCCGGGGATATAACGGAGAGAACAACTTTTCTGGGTCCCCATACCTGCGGCTGACCACCCTCGATGCGAAAACTTTTCCTAACTTTTAAAAACAGCTTTCCTTGCAGCCACGTGTGCCCCCGTACTGCCGTGCACCTCCGAGAAGAGCCTGCCCCTGCCTTCCCTCCACCTGACGCTCTGGAGGAGGGGCTGCCGGCACTGGAGAACAGCGCTCTGATGCCGCCTTGGGCCTTCCGCGCTGAGGAGACCCAGCTGCCAGCAGACACCGAGGCCCGGGAGAGGGATTTGCTCGCCGCATCCCCGCGCCCAGAGGCCTGGCGATACCCCCGGGGACAGGCGGGACGCTCCCTCTCCCCCGGGTGACCTTGCCCC